ATATTATTCTGTTTTAACAAGAACAAAAAGGCAATTTGATATAAAACTTTGTTAAATTTGAATATGAATTGTTAATGAATATTTCCTTTTACCCTATGAACAATATCAATGTAAATTTGCAACAACTAAATTCGAAATAATTATTGCCCTTTATAAATGTTTTTGCGTCTTAAGAAATATGAAACTACAAAGTACTACAAGTACACCCCCCCCCCTTATGAAAATAAAAAAAAAATGATATTAAATATAATTTTGTAATAACACAAATTTAAATGCCTTCACGATTTTCAATTATAACAAACATCAATTTAAATGTATACAAAATATTAAGCATATATTGATCCACATAACTGTCCACAAAGGCCAATTTCTCTTGCAAATCTTATTTTCTGCATGTTCTTTGCAGGCATCCCTTTTGAGTTGTCCACACTTTTTGTCACGGTCAATTCTTTCTTGTTCAGTCACCTTGGAAATGTCATAAGTATTTTAAGCCGGCATGGAAATTCCATCTGGATCAATATATTTTTCATTTCTTAAAGACTAAATAATTATGGGGTTTTGGATTATGTTTTGTGTGAGCCTGTATGTTTCGTTTATAAAGCTTTTGTGATATCCTGAATATATCCATAATTTTACTTGTGGCAGATGATATGCATTTATCTGGTCCCTGTTCTTGCAAAAGGTTCAAAATACTTTCAGATTATTGCATGCTGCAGCCTCACAGCGCATTCCTAGCTTTGAAAATGGAGTTTCGGGCTATATGTCGCAAGTTAGAATTTTTGACCCTCCCAATGCAATTTTATGGCAAGATAAGACACAATTTATCTTTTTAGGAGCGCAGTCTACACATTGTCCATGTTTACAAATTTTAACTGATCTAGATAATGCATCAACATGCTTCAAATGAGACCCTTTTGGATGAACAATTTCAAAGTCTAAAGTAAATATTATTCTAAGCCACCTACTCAACATTCCATCAGTATCCTTACCAAGTATATAATGTCTGAAATGTCGAACAAAGGTTTCCAGAGCAAATTATTCTCTTATCGTGGTACAATAATGCTGTTGTGAAGCCGAGAGAGCTTTACTTGCATAAGCGATAACTTCTTCCCGATTGTCCTGTATTTGTGACAAAATCACAGCTGCTACGAAGGCTGAGACATCCGTTTCTAAAATACATGTCATCTCGAGAACAACACTGGAGATTCAGTTTACTTTGACTTCAGTATTTTAAAGGCTTTTTCACACTCATCTCCCAGCGAAATCGTACTTTCTTTTATTGTCAGTTCCTTTAAGGGTTGATATATTTTGGCATAATCCGGGTTATAAGGTCTAAACTCCCCAGCAGTCATTATTATGCTGCTGACCATTCCAAGGCGGCGCCCCTCTGTCTTCCTTAGATGTATGTCTATGTTTTTCCATACTGTTTTGGTGACACTTTTGCTTGTGTCCCTTGTTGTTTTCTCGTCTACGGTAAGTATGTTCCCCCTTCACCCCTAGTTTTTATTTCTTTTATTAACCCCCCCCCCCTTTCCCTGTCCTCTTCCATGTGCCCTTTGACTTTGTGGGCCTGTTTTTCAATCATTTATTTGTTTTCTTTTAATTCCTAATCAATAACAATTTATTTATCATTTAGTGATTAAACTGTCCATGCTGACTTGTGCCCTGTCCTGTTTTTGTTTGGGGTCCGCCTGGGCTCCTTGCCACTAGTTCTTGTTGCTGGGTCATATGGGGGTTGCGGTCATTGAACGCCGCCTTTCCTTGTTGATCTTGTTTACCATATTCTATAGAAGTGGACTAAACTAAGAACACTTTTATTCTCAGTTTTATTTTCTAGTTGGTGCCAATTTATGAATGCTGATATCTTTTTTGGGTCACAAGTGACCCCCTTTTCTGAAATGACATGGCCTATTAATGAAACTTGTCACTGAAAAGATACATCACGAAGATTTAAACTTTAGATTTACTTGCCTCAATCTTTCGAACGCTTCTGTGAAATTTTCATGGGCACTTACAAAGTCAATACCAGAAATAACTACGTCATGTATAGAAAATAAACATGTCCGCCATTGTAAGTGTTCTAGAATGCGTTCGATTAGTCTTTCGTAAGTTGCACCTGCATTAACTTAACCGTATGGCTAACAAGAAATTCGTGTAAGCCGCGACTTGGTGTTGCAAATGCTGTTTTACACTGATCTTCGGAATGCAAAGGGACCTGCTAGATCCTGAAGCTAGGTCAATACAAACGTATTAACTTGAGAATTTACGAAGTTGAGATTTTTTGTGTCCTCACTGAAAGGTAGAGACCTTTAGCTCAGCCTGTTTGAGTTTTCCGGACACCTAGTTGCCACATGACCATCTTTTTGACAATGGTAGCAGACTATCATGTAAAAGTTTCTTTCGGGATATCTATTTTTGTATTGGGATCTAAATTGATTATCAGGTGGTAAATCTGATTTATGATCTAGACTGTAATAATTTTGTGACCTAGCCTGTGCTCTATTGTGCTGGAAGGGGTTCAAGACACTTTCATAGCTCTTAGCCAACTTAAGTAATGCCTCATGAGTAACAGTATTGATTTTCTTCCTTTCAAGCCTTAAATAATTTTTAAAATAATAACTTCCTTTCCCTTCAATGAATTGATTGCAAATCATTTCATCTAGAGCGTGCCCTGTTTTCCAGGGTAACTGAAATCCGCTAGTCGACGTAACATAAAAGCAAATGCGTCAATTCTCTCGCCAGGGTTCTTAAGTCCACGCCGAAACTGATTTTTGTAAGCACTTATACGCTCGTACTTGTTTTATCACCATAGCCTTGTTTAAACGCTACTTTCAAGCTAAAGTAATCTAATGTAATGTATCGAGATAAAAACGTGCTCATTCTTCATTCACATTCTAAGTATATGTTAGTGTTCATCCGTGTTGTTCTACAGAAATTAGAAACTTCGACGGGGAGAATGTTTCTAATTTCTATAGAACAGCTACGGATGAACACTAACATATTTAGTGTCAAGCTTTATTTGCCCCTTGATTACGTCACTACGCGGTTCTATGAAGCACTATGAAAAATAGAAGAAAAAAAAGGCGACATTGAACGGATTTCAATATAGTATCGACTTTTTTTCTTCTATGAAAATTAACACACAAATTTTTTATGAAATACAGCGTTTTCATTGAATGACAAATAAAGCTGGACACTAAAACGCAATGGAATGGTTTCAGGGGTTTATTTATTAAATCTAGCTATATAATCAAAAGTATTGACAAAAGTTATTCACCTTTCTTAGCCGCTAAAAGTACATAGTTCAATTTCCTTATGTTTTGGCTCAGAAGATATCTATGGCTCTTGGTTTAACTGTACTGTCTTGGTAAGTAGTAAGAGGCAGAGACACATTATTCCATTCTTCAAATATCACAATTAAAACATTTCATGAGTTAAACACGTAATTTAATTGGGGTAAAGATGAAAAATGTTTCATTTGATACAGGAGCTTAGGCAACATAGGTAACATATGATGACCTATTTAATATGGGATATCTAGGTATGCTTGATGATGTATGAGGAGACTGATGAAACTGGTCATTAAACAGACCGTATGTACTTGCAGGTAAATTAAAAGCCAGATTTTTGTCAGCATAAGATGGCCGTTATACATAGCTGGACACATGGAGGTCACTGCAGTATGCATGCTTGCGTAACGTAGGGGTGGATTCCGATAAAAAATCTGGAAACAAAGTGATCCCTTGGAAGCATTAATCACAACGAAATTACAAGAGAATGGCAGACTCGGTTTGATTGAGTCTGTTCATGGGGGATACTGAATAAGTGCAATATCCCGCATGACCCTTACCACCGGCTTGAGTGGTACTCAATTCTCATCGTAACTACTCGTACTATCTAGTCAATCAATAATTATAAAGTATTCAATAAATTTCTCTACAAACAATATCTTTGACAATCAATGAATGAATCAATATTGAATATATACAAGTCAATTTTAATTACTACAGCCCCGAATGGTTCGACCACTCGACCTAATTTCGCAACGGTATAATAGATCAAATTGATGACATTTATTTGTGTGCAAAAAGATTAAATTTAATTCATAATACATAAAAATATTCCCAATGTTTAATTCATCTCAATATGATTTTATCAAATATAATGTCTGAAGTAGCTTTTCTCAGGCTTCTTATTATTACATTAACACAAACTTGGGACCAGTAACAATATTATATAAATAACACATGTGTTTGTGGGTAACAGTAAAAATATCATCCCGAAGAAAATACTGTTACCCGAGGCGTTGCCGAGGATAACAGTATTTTTACGAGGGATGATATTTTTACTGTTACCCACAAACCTATGTGTTATTTATTTTATTACCCCGAATAAATATTGTGATGATCTGAATTTGTCAACTAAATGCACTGTAACTGTAACAAAAATAAACCACGAGTAGGAATAACTAAACTGTCCTTACCTTGCAAGTTTAAAGAATACTATAGGCCTACTTGAGAAGCTGTTTTTCTTTAAACAAATGATGATATCTACCAGTTATAAACATACAATAAGCTGTGTTTTATTTAGGAAACAAAACACCAACCCATTTATAAGGTTATGATCTGTGAAATCTGATCCTTCTGTATCCAGAATATTCTTCGGATGGTTTTGACAAAGTGTATTATTTTACAAAATAACGATGATGTCCTACAGATGTCTGTCAACCAACTCTATCTGTAACATTTCACTGGTTAAAATTGTTAGATAATCCTTTGTGGCATGCTTTTATCGTCTGCATGTTCGAGTTTGACACAAAATTATTCACATTACAAATACATCCGTTGAAAACGGATGTTTACTTTTTGACTATTCAACAAAAAGATATTTTATACACGAAAAGAACTCTAGGGTGCAAATAACTAAATTTTATGAGTGTCATAGTTACTTTCGTGATGCCCTATTGACGAAAATAAGAATGAATCGATAGAACAATGGGGGCCATTTTATTTCATTTTATTCAGAAAATAGACGACGTGACCAAATTTTATACTGTTAAAAAATACTGTTACCTATGTAACATTATAAAATTCTAAGTCATTATTATCCTTTAATATATATTTTTGCATATTAAGAAATATGAAACCTTTATCAAAAGATTATGTCACCATTTACAGAACCGAACCTCCAATGCGTTTCAGAGTTGATAGGAAGTACAAGTGGGAGTCAAATAATCTAGACTTGTGACTGGTGTTAAAATATTTGTTACAAATATATGAAATTAAATTGTATTAATGGTTTCACTTTTAAAATGGTAATTTAACCTTGCAGGAACAAAGTGACTGCTTTGATTTGTTTGGTAGCCCCATTCTAATATAATTTGAGTATTGCCATCGTCATATCAGCTATTGCGGTCAGTATCAGATTAACCAATATATAATGCATAATCTTGAGTACTTTTTTCTGATGAACTGAAATGCTATAATTAAGTTTAATTTAAAATACATGTACTTTTTGTGTCGCCTTGAAAAGGTGACATATAGGGGTTACTTTTGTCGGCGGCGTCTGTGTCGGCGTCGTTGTCGGCGTCCCCTAAAGCTTGCCTGGAGCATAACTCAGTCACTATAAGTCTGATTGACTTCAAACTTTGTATGCATGCTTCTTTCAATAACCCAAAGTGCAGTGCACAAGGACCGGTACTCTGCTGTTCTTATTTTTTGAGTTATTGCCCTTTGTTAATTTTCGTACTTTAATTTTGTCCAGGCCATTTCTCTTCAACTAAATAAGCTATGGACTTGAAACTTCATAGGATGATAGATCTCATTAAGAAGAAGTGCAGTGCATAAGAACCGGTACTCTGCACTTCCTAATTATTGAATTATTGCCCTTTGTTAATTTTCATACTTTATTTTTGTCCGGGCCATTTCTCCTAATGTATAAAAGCCATGGAGTTGAAACTTCATAGGATGATAGGTCTCATTAAGAAAAAGTGCAGTGCACAAGAACAGGTACTCTTCATTTCTTATTTTTTGAGTAATTGCCCTTTGTTTATTTTCATACTTTAATTTTGTCCGGGCCATTTCTCCGAAAGTGTAAAAGCTATGGACTTGAAACTTCATAGGATGATAGATCTCATTAAGAAGAAGTGCAGTGCACAAAAACGTTACTCTGCATTCCTTAATTTTTGAGATATGGCCCTTTGTTTATTTTCATATTTATTTTTTGTCCAGGCCATTTCTCCGAAAGTATAAAAGTTATGGACTTGAAACTTCATATTATGATAGATCTCATTAAGAAAAAGTGCAGTGCATAAGAACTGATACTCTGCATTTCTTATTTTTTTAGTTATTGTCCTTTGTTGATTTTCTTTCTTTATTTTTGCCCTGCTCATTTCTCCTCAAGTATGAAAGCTATGGGCTTGAAACATCATAGAATGATAGACCTTATTGATAAGAAGTGCAGTGCACAGAAACTGCTGCTCTGCACTTATCAATTTTTTAGTTATTGCCCTTTGTTATTTTTCCTATTTCATTTTTGTCCTGGCCATTTCTCCTAAACTACATTCACAAGGCGACAAATCCGACTCGCGGAGTTCTAATTTTCAAACTGAATATGCTGAGTAAAATTCAATAATAATACTTGTTATCCGGTTATCCGATAGATAACGGGAATTAGCAAAAGTGAAATGGTGTAGAATTTGTGTCAATTTGGATTACAGTAGGACTACCTTCCCTTAAGACTATAAATAATTGTGTACTCGAAACACTGTTACCCTGTTACAACACAGTTTGATACACTAAATATATAAACGTAGTAGTAACAAAAATTTCATTTGAATGCACGACTGTTTATATCAAATAATTATCAAAACAATCTATATTTCCTGACTTTGACCAATATTTATACTTCACCTAATACATGCTTAGATGTCAACCGTGAAAACGATTTCAGTGAGAACTTTTAGTGATTGTCACTCTGGAATATTGCTAAGAGTAACAGAAAAAGTATACCCTGTCATTTTATTGTAATTCACTTTTTATTTAGTATGCAAAAGGTAATTGAAATATTATAGTTCTTTCATTTACATATAGATTCGTTTCATTTTGAAACCTTTTTTGTTGTAATTATTAAAGAGTCGTTTTGTTGAAAATAGCGTAGTTTGAGATCACCCCCTGATGACAGAGATAAACAACTGTCACATGACCCGGAAATGCCAAGTTTGTCCCGAAACAATGCAGTTGATGATAATTCTGAAGAAATAATTTTTAACAAATTGCTAAAATTGTTGATTTATCTCATAAAGTTAAACAATTTTGCAGTTCAGTTTGTTCCAACTGTCGTTGTAAAGAGATGCGCTTAGTTAATTTCGTTACTGACCAGCACTGCCTAGTTCACCAAAACAATATTTTATTTATATTTTTGTAATTAGTCGTGTGATAATAAGAATCTCACAAATCAAACGTTGTCATATAATAAAATGGTTTCTTTTCCGAGAATGTGTGTGTGTTACATTATAGTTTAGTGAAAAATTAATGAAATGAAACATGTTAATATGTTAAATACGAGTATGAGTAACTTGATGACTGTTATTTGTATATGAAACGAACAGCAGAATAAATGAGATAAAAGCAATCAGTGATCATATGTGTCGCCTCAGGATAGCAAATTGCATGTTGCAGCTACTACGTAGCGGGAGACATAAACATCAATAACAGGGCAAAACGCATTTTGTATTAAAGGGCCATAACTCGGTAAAAAAATCAACCGAGGACTTTGTGTAATATGCGCAAGTACTTGAGCTACCAATTAATCATGTAAAGTTTCATTGAATTTGCATTAGTGGTACACGAAGGGCCATAACTCGGTCAAAAATCATTAAGGCGAAAAACTCTTAATATCCACAAGAAATTCACATTGAAATTGTACTAGTGGTAGATCTATAAGAGTTGTCCGTACAAAGTTAAAAAAATATATTAAGGGTCACAACTCTACCAAAATCATTGAACCATACAATTTCGATGATATGCACAACAAGTCGTGGCACCAATAATTCCTGTAAAGTTTGGATGAAATTGCACAAGTTTTTTTTCTAAAAAGTAGTCCGGACAAGCTTCTGTGTAGCTTGCAACACTAAAATGACTTTAATAAGCCAAAAAAACATTCAACCGGAAAACCCGTGTAATATGCGAAAGTACTAGTCTTGAGATACAGATCAATTTTGTAAATTTTCATTGGAACTACATAAGTGGTACAAGAGGAGTAGTCCGGACAAACTTTAAAAATCAAAATAAGTGAAGGGCCGTAACTTTGACAAAAGCATTGAACAAGAAAATGCCGACGAAAGAGTTTGGACGAAATTGCTGCTGTAGATGTTGAGGAGTAGTCCAGACAAGTTTTGTGACTGTAGAGGCGACACAAAAGAGGATCGAAAATATGTCTGATTAAATGTATGGGGCAACATTTTATGGGCTCCATAGGACCAAACAACACTGATGTGGCGATTGTCATCAAATTGTTTCAAACACATTTACACGGGGTAAACGACAAATTTATCATTTCAAATAGAAATACATTCACAGTTTGATTTTTGTCAGTATATGTGTATAGATGTTGTTTTTTTAAAACTAAAATGTTTCACAGGCAACTTTAATCGCGTAATAAATCGCTTATTGTGACACTGTATATTCAGATGTTGAATACTTTATTTCTGTTGAAAGGCATCAGATGAAAATGGAAATATGGGAGATTTCCAGTTATCTAATTTGGGTTCAAACATTTTCTGTCTTGTCAGCATCAAACTGTACATTTCTTCTATCTGTAGCGCCATACGGTTTATAACCTGCTGCTGATTCTGCTGTTCGCCTTGTTTCTGCCTATGACCTTGATGATGTGCTTGTTTTTGTTGTTGCTGGTGCTTTTGTTGCTGGTGCTTTTGTTGCTGCTGCTCCTGCTGCTGCTGCTGCTGCATATATAAAGTTTGCCACTGAGCTGCATCCTTTGCTTCAGCAGCGTTTCTTGGACTCGGGTGACTTAGATAATGTCTAGGATCCAAGAACGTTTTTAAATCCTCTCTGCCAACTTCAGAAAGACACTGTGATATGAACGATTCTATAAATAAAAACATAAATCATAGTTATTTTACATATGTCGTTCAAGTACATGAAATAACTGAGCGCAGATTTAATGAAGACATATGTCACAGGGTCAAGTATACAATGTCCGTATTGCCAAGTGCTGTATATTTTAATATGTTCGTGTCCATGCCTGTCTCTGTATATTTATATGTTAATGTTAATGTCCCTTATTGTTTTTCGTAGTTATTTCTTTAATTCATATACTCATAGCTCATATCTAATAGCCGTTACCTATCCATAATAGTACTTTATAACCTTTTCAATATCTTCGATTAACTTTTCTCGCTAATATTTCAGTTTCCCCGCTAATCTGCACAACGCATGCGCACTTGAATTGAGAAATTGTTGGCGCAGGCCACGGTTTTGTTGTAGGGAAGAATAAATATTTTGAGTAGCGCATACTTGTCTTTTTACAGACCCCTCTACCCCAGGTCCAGAACTCACAGCAGAGTCAACGAGCCCTTTGATTCGTTTGAGCTGCGACAATTGGCGCCCAACGGGGGACCGTGACTGACATAGCTCAGAGTTTAATTTACATTGCTCTGTAACTCTATGAAATTCGAGGTCGAATTTCAATAAAGCAGGGGAGTATGTCACGGTTCAGAACTGTTCACTTAATAGGGGAGAAACTGTGTAAGCGGCCTGATATAGCTCAGTCGGTAGAGCCGCGGAACGGTATTCCGAAGGTCCCGGGTTCGAGTTCCGGTCAGGCTGCACATTTTTTTCACCCTATGACATTTGGCGCCCAACGGGGGACCTGGTTCGAAGAGTGAATCAATTTCGATGTAGTTTGGTTGCGAAACGTTCTGTATGACGTCACTGGGGTAAGATGGCTTCCCCCAGGAATGTCGGTATACATGTATCGAGAAGAATGTAAGCAAATGGTTTTACACATATTTTACACATTTTGAAGTGAAAATTAGGCCTAGACTTGTTATATAAATATTATTTGGATTAATCTAGATCGACATTTATCAATATAACCGTGTTCGTCGAGAATTATTGATATCCGTGGATGGAATGTTCTACTTTCATTTTCAACAGACTACAATGTGACAATGGAATAGTTACCGGTGTTATTCAGTGATTTGTGACATTTAAATTATAGACTTTCAGATTTAATAAGTTCGGTTACAGTGACATTTTATTTTTTCATCTAAATTATAAGCATAAAGTTTGTTGTTTATTTTTTCTTAATTGTAATACATGTAGAATTTTGACATTGTTTACATTAATATTTTGTTTTGTACATGTAATTTGTAGAAACAATTTGAACCAGTTTTACTACTTCTAATTTTAATTTTCAGAATGTAGTGTTCTATGTCAAGTGACCACCCACTGATGCACTTAAGTGTTGGTACCCCAGGCGTTGGAGGTGTTGGTTTGTCATGCATGGTTGACAGATGATCTCCTGTTAAAATTTTGTAGGTGGTTGGTGAGACTTTTAACTAACACTTAATTAAAGTAAATCCTTATATCCTATAAGTCCTGTCTAGTTGTCCATATTAATTCAGACATGTCCCTATTAATTTAAGTGTGACTTGGTCCATTATAAGTCAAAACCCTGTCATCAGTCAACAGATTGCAATTGATGTATACTGAGATAATTATCTGCTGCTGCTGTCAACAGTTTTTGGTAAGTTTATATCCTTCAGCTGCGATTACACCGTAGATGTAAGTGGTATTGATTAACAGTTTCAACCGTGTAACTATAGAACTTTTCTTAGTATAATCTGTCTTGGTTTTGTTGAAGTCGCTGAGGTGGTATATAATTATCTCCCTTGTACTTGTGTGAAATTTCCAAGGAAGTGAACATAAGTGCTGAGTTATTACTCATTCTTTTTAAAATTCAAATTAGATTATTTTAAGTCAGGTTGTATTTATAAACACTTCCAACATGCACTAGTGTTTATAAGCACTCTGTGTATATAAAGTGAGATAACATTAAATCAAGTAAAACAATTTGGATGTAACTATACACATTGTTTTAGTGTTTGTGTTTGTTTTATTTGAATTTATTTTTTCACACACATAAAACCCAAACACAAGGGTTGTATTATTTGTGTACCAATATAATTCATACATAATATGCATACATTTTTTTTTTGTTTTACATAATTGTCTGCCATAATCCATACATATTATTCAAATACTTCATAAAGTATGGTGGAGTATTAAAGACATTTTTTTAAGCAAATTTTATAATACAGCAATTTTGCAACAATATTGCAGATTGTGTATACATAAATACATATCAATCTACACAGAGTTGACACATATATACATCAATTTTTAATTTTTTTGTATGGTGTACTGAAGGTGTCATTGTCCAGAATTGCAGTTTGACATATCAAGAAAGAATTTTTTTAGTTATGGATGAAGCAGATTATACAACTGAAATGTCTCGCATAAGAGAGGAGGAATTACAGTATTTTGTAGATCAGATAAGAAAATCTGGGAGGTTTAATGTGACACCTTGTCAATCTAGTACCCCTTTTTCTTCCCATAGGATATCTGGTGAATATTTGGAGGACAGACCTGTTGAGACAGATACTCCTACTAGAGACTCAAGTCTCAAGTCAAGCTGATGTTCCTCCTCATAAGCCAACTTCTCATGATATTTCCACTTACCCCTCTTATCTTGACTCATCTGTTACTCATGCTCGGATTCCCAAATTACCTTTGTTTTCTGGAGAAGGGAAACCAGGATAATGTGAGTTTGAGGTTTGGAGGTATCCTTTGAATTGTTTATTATGTGGTGGTATGTATCCAAGCCATATCCTCCAGGAGTCCATTCGTAACAGCTTGAAAGGCAGAGCACGTACTGTTTTATTACACTTGGGTGAATGGGCCTCCATTTCAGATGTCATTGCAAAGCTTGAAGCCATATATGGTAATCTTGCTACTTCAGAGCGGTTGAAATAAGCTTTTTTATTGTGCCAAGCAAGGTCAGAACGAGTCTGTCGCTGAGTATAGTCTTCGTTTAGAAAGACTTCTTACCAATGCGAACCTGAGTCTGGACCGGAACACTAAGGATGATATGCTTAGGAACCGGCTCTGGTCAGGTCTTCGTGATAATGATCTCCGGAATGCAACTCGTTACAAGTTCGAGTCTTTTTTTGACTTTGAGGAAGGAAATTCGTTCAATTGAGGAAGATTTTAAGGCTCGCACATCTACCTATAACTCTGTCTCTTGCTCTCCCCCTCAAATCCCTATATTCTTCTTCCAAGGCTTTTGACCGTAAACCTGTTCCAGAGGTTTCATGTTCTTCAAATATGTCAGTTGTTGAACATAAGATTATTCAACAACTTGAAGAACTCACTGTACAGATGAAGCGAATTAACTCCGGGGTTGAAACTGTAGAGAAGGAGCTTTCCCAGTTGAAGAAAGTGAGTGAATCTTCCATACCAGACAGTGGTAGTACCAGTACCATGGAAAAGGGTAGTAGTAACTACAGAGGTGGTTATAATCGAGGCGGATACAATAGAGGTGGACGTTTTTGGTCGGGTCGTGGTCGTGGCTATAGCTTTGATGGTATTAGAAACCAGTCCAGTTCAGTCGCTGACAAACAAGACCAGAATTCTGACAGTAAATCTCCAGCTACAGGTGGTTTAAATGAGTCCAGACCTTCAATCGAGGGCAATTAGAAGGTCAGAACAACATATCCAGCCCTATTATCATACCATTAGTTGACCATTCAAACCAAACTGAGATTGTTATTCATAATCAACGTTGCCAAGCTTTGATTGACACTGGGTCAATGATTACCACTGCCAGTGAATCATTTTATAAATCATTATCTCCTTGTCCTGAACTTTGTAGTTTAAAAGCTTTTGCTTTTAATATCTTAGGTGCAAATGATGTAAAGGTTCCTTATATAGGTTACTGTTTGCTTGACATTTCTGTTCCTTCTTTGCAGTGCAGTACTATTACTGTGCCTGTATTAATTGTTCCAGATACAGACTACTCTTCCTCAGTTCCGGTTATTGTTGGGACTAATATCATCAGACACTTTCAGAATATTAGTTCAGGTGAATAAATCCCTTCTTGTTGGCAACAAGCTTTCTCTGCTATTTCTTGTATTCACTCTGTACCAGTGAAAGCTTATAATCATAGGCCTTTAACAATTCAGCCATACCAGACACATACCGTCACTGGGAAGGCTAGACAGGTTGATGACATGACTGTTGGTGTTACTGAGACATTTGATTCTTCCTCTAGCCTGTTGAATATATGCTCAAGGGTTGTCAGTGTTCGCCCAGGTAAAGCTTTTTCTAGAATCCCAGTTAGGATTTGCAACTTATCAGCAAGGCCAGTGCTTATTTACCCGAATTCAGTTCTTTGTAGTTTAAAACAGGTAGAGGTTGTACGTTCTCTTGATCCCTCCAAAGGTTCAGTCTCCAAATCCCATAACCAAGATAAGACTCTTGAAGAACTTGGTGTAACAATTCCTTCTGATAACCTTTCTGGTGATGAACATTCTCAGGTTGTTAAATTTCTTAGCAACTGGACACATATCTTTTCCTCTGGGATAACAGATCTTGGCTGTTCTAAGTCTGTTGAGCACAAAATTCAGTTGTCCGACCCTAAGCCTTTCAAAGAGCCTTATAGAAGGATTCCACCTAGTATGTTTGAAGAGATAAGAGAGCATATTCAAGAAATGCTGAAAGCTGGTCAGTGTTCGCGTTTACTGAGTAAACATATCAATTTACTCGCTAAAATTGCCAGGGAGGAAAGAAAAAAAGGGCTGTTGAGTCCCTGGGACGAAACACTTTTTCCCCGATAATTGGTCAATTCTCTCTTAAGTTTTTTTGCTCTGCTTGAAAATGATTTTCTATTCACTTTAAATAAATTGTATTATAAGAACTTGACTTTCACCTCATTTTCATTTGTTCCTTTCTCATTAGCAATGCAGATTTATATCCCAAACGTAGACTAGGAGCAAGTGCTCGGCCTCGTTTTGGGCCAACCTA